GCCGGGCGGCTTGCAGGTGCGCCCTCGGGGCGTGGGAAGGTGAGCGACCGCTGTTTTGTCAGTTGCTTTGAAGCGAGGAAACGGAGGGTTTTACTACCCGCTCCTAAAACTGTAAAACCGTCAAGCCGGAAAGACACCTAAAGATCATCTTGACCAGCCGCCTCGCGCCCCCGGAGGGCTCCTCCCCGCCGAGGTGCTGGGGCTAGAGCTGGAGAGGAAGGGAAGGGAGAGGCGGCGCGGCCCGCTCTGCTAGGGCCCTGGCGGAGGGGTCAAGGGTCGTCCCGCACGGCCACGCCCTCGCCCCTCTCCCATGCTCCCCTAGACTAGGCTGCGGGTCAGCTCGGCAGCAGGCGGTCGGTCTCGGGCTGGAGTCCGAAGTCTGCGGCCCCGCCCCCTGCTCCGGCCCTCGGGGCGGGCGGACTCTAGACGAGCTGCCCCGCGCGCCCCCGGAGGGCTCCTCCCCGCCGAGGTGCTGGGGCTAGAGCTGGAGAGGAAGGGAAGGGAGAGGCGGCGCGGAAGGTGAGCGACCGCTGTTTTGTCAGTTGCTTTGAAGCGAGGAAACGGAGGGTTTTACTACCCGCTCCTAAAACTGTAAAACCGTCAAGCCGGAAAGACACCTAAAGATCATCTTGACCAGCCGCCTCGTTTTTTATTAATGGGGCGACTGAGCAGACGGGGAGGTGACGGAAGTGCAGGGCAGCGGGTGTGTCGGGGGTGGTTATGCGGGAGTGGATTTCGGGGAAGAGAGAACCAGGGTTTGACCTGTGAAGAAGGGCATGCAACTTGTCTCCTTGATAATCGTTAGTTTTCTTCTCCTGCCTCACAGCGTTGGGGGTCAGGGGACCCACCTCATGCATTGGTTTGCAGCGCAGAGCCCAGCACACAGGAAGTGTCTAATAAGTGCGAGCCTGGAGGTGAAAGAGCAGGTCTGATGGTGCCCAAGTCTAGTTTCAGTTTTGCAAGGTGAAGAGAGTTCTGGAGATGAATGGGTGATGGTTGCACAATAATGTGAATGTGTTACAGGTGCAAAGTTCGTGCACCCGATGCTTCCAAAGAAAGGCCAGTATTCCAACCATTGGCTGCACATTAGAATCACCTGGGAATCTTTTTAAAATCCTGATTTCTGGGCCTCATCCTCTGGAAATTCTGTTTCTTTGTTATGGGGTGGGGCCACAACATTAGTAACAAAGAAACAGAATTTCTGGAGGATGAGGCCCAGAAATCAGGGTTTTAAAAAAGATTCCCAGGTAAGTCTAATGTGCAGCCAAGGTTGAGAACCACTGGTTTAGAGTAAAGAAAGGTTAATTGAGA